CATTATTTCAAGTGATAGAACTTATTCCCGTCACATTTGTGTAATGCATAATTCTAGCTACGTTTCCTTTAATTCCTAAGCAACTTAATTGTTACTTGTCAGTAAAGAACCTAATTTGCACCAGCCATTCTCTTTGACTGATGAAAAAAATAATGGAAGAATTGGTTTTTTATGGTATATGATTTGTTGCTTTTGTTTCTTTTGCATAGGTTTGACATACTTATACATTAACTTGGATTATTGTCTTCAATGACAAAATTCACTGTGTTGCAGAAACTTGACAATGAGGTGGAAGGAAATACATTCCAAAACAGTGACTTTGACGAAGTCTGAGTATCAGCTTGATCCGTTGCCAAGTACTCCAATTCTGTTTGTGAGTATTTGTATAGATAAATTAGTTACAAAAATGTAATGTTCTCATTCTTTTCTGTTCATAAATTTTGAGTGTAATTGTTCACTCCTGAAGATGAAAGTGGTTTGAGATATCCATGTAATGAATAAATGATGATGCTAACATGTCATCCATGTTATGAATAAATTTTTTTTTTCTCTATTGTATGTTACATACGGATTTATCTGTATGTAAAAAAAATATTTTTTTTATATATTATATACAGATATTATATACGGATTTATCCGTATATAATTTATATACGGATATATCCGTATATAATTTAGCTACAATGATTTTATATACGGATTTTTGTCCGTATATAAGTTGTATGTAACCAAGTATTATATACGGATTTTGGGTCTTATATACGGATTTTGGTTGTATGTAATTCAACTTTTTCTTGTAGTGGTTGCCAGGAAGAGAACGTGTGGTTCTAGTATCTTTGAGAGGAGTCTCAAAGGGGTTCTGCAGAAAGAGGGTTGTTCTTTCTGTATTGATTATGTTCCTATATTAGATTTGGAGTTGGAGAGAAGATTAAATTGAGAGAGGGTCTCTGTAAGTCTTGTTGTATAACTCAATCTTTATAGTGGAAGGTCTTTCAATCTCGGGTTGATTGAAAGGGACTGGATGTAGGCATTGAGGTCAAACCAGTATAAAAATCCTTGTGTTTGATTTTCTATCCTTTGACTCTTTTAGTGCATTATTTTCTTTATTGTCTTGTGTGTTCAAGAAAGTGCTAAAGATTTTTCAAAAGTTAATAAAAGAACGTATTTTCAATAAGAACCAATTCACCCCCCTTCCCCTTCTTGGTGTTAAGAAATAAGGCCTAACTATTCTTACATTAAGATTTTTACTTTTATAAATATCATAAACGCTAGAGTCTTTTTCTTTCCTTTCTCCTCATCCTCGTTCAATCTCCCGAGATCCAATTCATGCTCTCTGAATTTACCAAACAATGCAGTCATTGACATAACATTGAGATTTTGTGACTCACTAATAATGATCACCTTTGGTTACCAAGTCATGTCCAAAGATTTAAGAATTTTTATATTTAACTCATCATTATCAAAGGACTTACCTAACCCAATGAGATGATTCACAATATGCGTGAAGCGCTTCTGAACATCCACAATGGTTTCTCCCTGCTTCATGTAAAACTCATCAATAGTTAAAGCAGATGATATTATGTTACGAGCCCTTACATCCTATTTGGATCTTCTTTTATCATCAGCATTCCATTGCTCACATAGTTTGGGTCCTTGAAAAAATTGATTCCATAAAAAATTGATTCTAACTTTCCAAAAAGCATAGTTTTCTTCAATAAATAGTGGAGGTCTGTTGATAGATGCACCCTTAACAAAGGTTTGATGTTGCCCTGTCATTTTGAATTACTATCAAAGCAAACTCTGATACCAATTGTCAGAGCGATGTAGCAGAATGGTAAGTGTGAACAACAAACCAAAATGTGGATGAATTGGTTTCTTATCGCAAATCGTGCCTTTAATAATTTTCTCGTATTATTTAAATTCCTTAATGACAAATTAAAACAAATAAGAGAGTAAGGAAGAGAGAAAATTGCACAGATGATTTTTATACTCGTTCAGATCACATAGATTCCACATCTAGTTATTAATCTTAAAAGAGAATTAACGCTTCACTATCACAAACCAACAAACTATTACAATCACACAAAAAATAACAAAGTTTAAAGTTAGAACACCTCTCTTGTTATCACAAGAGATAAAACTCATTTTCCTTGAAATCCACAAGGGATGAACACCTCCTCCGAATGCTTCACGAAGGATGAACACCAACTTTGAATCTTCACAAAGGATGATAGGCTTTAACTTAGCAACAACAACAATACTCAATCACAACTTCAGTGAAAGTTCTCACTCTATGCCAACACCAAGTTCTCAAAGCCAAAGCATAAGGGTTACATAAACCCTAGAACAAATTTATCACAACACACAACAAAACAGATAAACTTTTCGAAATTCACATATTTCATATATTAGAATGAGAGTCTCAATCCAATTTCTAGAGATCTCACTTATAGATACCTCCAAAAGCTCGTTGTCAACTATTTAACGCGTGATTGATTATCTAAATGAGGTAATTGATTATGCATTTAATGAATGCACAACAGTCAAAAGCTTGCTTGAAAATTCTCATTAATGCTCGTGATAATCGATTATGGAAAATCATAATCGATTATTGATAATTGATTATCATTAATTGATAATCGACGATGCTGAGTGAAAATGAGGTTTTCTAATGCAAAACGAATTTTAACGTAACCTAAGGCAAACAATACACGGAATCAAAGATAAACCACATCCTATACATAATAACTATACTAAATTACAAAAGCTTTAATAAAAAAACAAATTTTCATGAAGATCTTCTTGCAACAAGAGCACTTGAGACTTGACTTTGAGACCTCATCAAAACTTCTAAGATTCATCTTTATGCTAACAAATTGTAGAAAACATGCAGTGGACTATTTAGCGTAGCTGACAAAAACCAAGAGGGAGGTGAATTGGTTCGAGTTAAAAATCACTTTCCTTTTAACAAATTTTTGCTTTTAAAAATTTCTTTGATAAATGTGAAAACTTACGTTGATTAAAAGCAAATAAATAAAGTAGATAAGGAAAGTGAAAAATTACCCACGTAATTTTTATACTACTTCAAATCAAAAGATTCTACGCGTAGTTGTTAATCTCTCTAAAAAATGGATTAACCTTTTAACTAAAATGAATAACAATTTACAATAGAGAATTAAATATGAGATTAGAAAACACCTCTCTTAATAGATAATAGATGACCAACACCTTCTTTTGGCACACAAAAGAATAAACAACTTGATTTTGCTTGGTAGATAAGCACCAATAACTTAGACACACTAAGTAAGAGCTTTTCCTTCTTCAAGCACCGAAACCAAAATCTTTCTTAAACACTCAGAGTTTTTCCAGACTACACTCTTGCTTTGTAATAGTTTAAGTAACACTAAGAGAATTCTAAAACACTATATTTATAACACAAGGTTCAAACTAGGTCAAAAGCTTAAAAGACACTTCCCAATTGCCAATGATAATCAATTATCCCAAACCATTGTAAAAGGATTTTCTCTATGATAATTATTTGTCAACCTTGGTAATTCCTACTTTCGGGAATAACAATTATCTCCCAAAAGATAATTGATTATCTGTGAATCAAGGTGTTTTCTGATGTTTCTTAGGATAATGGATTATCCCAAGTGAAAATCGATTATTCCAAATGAACATACATTCAGGGCAAATACAAGACTTTTTTTATCCAAATGACTAAAGCTTATCCAAATGACTAAAGCTATTACAATCTAAATCATTAAAAAAAGCTTTAACATAAATTCATCCAAACATATAAAATGGTTCTTCAAATATTTGAATACTTCATCATAAAAATCTTTCATAGCTTTGATCAACTTATTGGTAACATCACATCCACTGTTATCATGCTCTGTCTTCTAATGATTCAAAAGAAAATATTTCACTTCATCCTTGTTTATATGGTCACAACAATATATTATAATTTATCGAGAGTGCCAGAATGATGGGATAAAAAAAATAGCAATATAATTGATTACCACTCACTAGAAAATTTTTATTCCATATTTTTGACTTCATAACTAGTGAAGTAAAATAAGATATATATTTTCTTATGTAAGCTCTTACATCCATGCGAAGAATGTATAATTATTGCAATATATCGATATGATCGGCTACCATCTTCATTTATAAGGAGTTTACTTTTGATCACAACGATGATGTGGTTTTATCAAACAAAACCTTTTGTAACTTATTATCAATTATACATAATTGAATCATGGAAAGAGTCGTATAATATTTTCATTCCATTCAGATGGTGTATGAAAGATTTCTTTTATTTTCTAGAAAATATTACTTTCAAATTTTGCTGAGTTAACGCAACCATCCTACGAACTTGCCACATTCCAAAGTTGATGTGTTGATCAAACTCTTAGAATGTCAAATCCCAAAACTCAAATGCACGTAAAATACCACATTATTATTTTCTCACCAAGTATTAACACCCTATAAATATCAAATAGAAATATAAGTAACTAATATATTTTTAAGAGAGTAATACTATTATGTTACAAGTATTATTATTATTTTATTCACAAATGAGAATGACTTCAACTTATAAACATGGCATGCATTTGAGGATCATAAATTACATAAGAAGGGATGATATTTCTTCAATCGGCACATATTATGTCTCTAGACTAAACGAAAGAATGAATGGAAAAGAAAGAAAAAGAAAATCATATGTAACATGATAAATAACTAAAGACGACAAAAATAAGTTTTTGAATACAGTGGATTAAATACATCAAATATTAGTGATACTCTTACTTATTATACTCATGGATAGAAATATTTCTTAAGAAAATTAAGAAAGATTCAAACAGACAAAGTCACATGTCCTAGGTAATAGTGTGGATTAAGGACCAAAATCGTGGTTTAGGATGGAATGCCTTTAGTTTGTTTTATTGAAGAGAGAAAGTAGGGTCGAGGAGCACGTGGGGAGAACGAAAAATCCAGTGTGGGAGATGACAGTAGTTGGTCAGTTGTCCCGCGCTGCCCTCACTCAGTCTCTGTGGATCACCATATTCATGCCCACGCTTCTCTCCTTCTCACCATCCATACATTCATTCCACTCTTTCTCTATAAAATTATTTTCCCTCAAATTTCGCCACCACCCTCTCTCCGCTCCATGGACCTCCGCCGTCGATCCTCCTCCGCCGCCGCCAAGGCCTCCGACGCTCTCCCCCTCCCCCTCCATCTCACCAACGCCTTCTTCTTTACCCTCTTCTTCTCCGTCGCCTACTACCTCCTCAATCGCTGGCGCGACAAGATCCGCTCCTCCTCCCCCCTCCACCTACTCTCCCTCTCCGACCTCGCCGCCGTCTTCGCCCTCCTCGCCTCCGTCATCTACCTCCTTGGCTTCTTCGGCATTCACTTCGTCCAGTCCTTCGTTGCCCGTCCTGCCGACGACGACGTAGAACCATCGGAATGCAGCTCCCTGGATAAAGTCGACGGTCAAGAAGACAACGTCATCATGACCGACTCAGTAACCAAGGGAGCTGCACAACCTTCTCCACTTCTCTGTACCGAACCGGTGAAACTGGTGGCGTGCGGAGTCGACAATGGCATCATGGTCGATTCTGTCATGAAGGGGAAAAGAGTCATACAACCTTCTTTTCAAAACGTGAAACCGGTTCTGAAAGAATTTGCTTCTTCCGCTGACAGAGTCTATCATGATGAAGACGACGTCGTGATCGACTCTGTCGTAAACGGAATTGTTCCGTCTTACTCTCTTGAATCGCGTCTCGGCGATTGTCGCAGGGCTGCGGCAATCCGGCGAGAGGCGCTTCAAAGGACGACTGGGCGGTCGCTGGGAGGACTGCCTCTGGAGGGGTTTGATTACAATGCAATTCTCGGGCAGTGTTGTGAGATGCCGGTGGGGTATGTGCAGGTTCCGGTGGGGGTGGCGGGGCCGCTGCTGCTGGACGGGGAGGAGTACACGGTGCCGATGGCGACAACGGAGGGTTGTCTGGTGGCGAGCACGAACAGAGGGTGCAAGGCGATCTACGCGTCCGGTGGGGCGACTAGTGTGTTGTTGAGGGATGGGATGAGTAGGGCGCCGGTTGTGAGATTCGCGACGGCAAATAGGGCTGCCGAGTTGAAGTTCTTTCTGGAAGATCCTCTCAATTTTGATACCTTGGCCGTCGTTTTCAACAAGTCTGTGTTTTCTTTTATGGCTTTTTGTGTTGGTGGAGAAAAAGGGTTTTTGTTGTTTTCTGTTTTTGTTTTTCCATATATTTATTTACTTCTGATCTTAGTTTGAGTCTGGCTTGTAAATGTGGAGTTACCTAAATGGGAAGTTAAAGGTAATTAATTCCTTGAAAGTGGAATGCTTTTCTCCATGATTTGAACTTGTCAGAATTTAAAATGTTTTATTTGTAATGGTTAATGTGATAATACTTTTGATGTTGATTTTCTTTTATCTTGTTTTGGTTGATGGGTTAAGCAATCCATTATTCCAAATCAGTGTCATTTTTTGTTTGTTGATTTGGGTCATGCTATGTTTGATCTTGATGGATTTATCTTTGTTAGGAAACTAAGTTTTGTAACTTTGGTTGTTTCTGAACTTACAATAACCTACACCCTAATTGACTGGTTGTTATTTGAAATTTGGATTTATGAATTTCCTTTCTCTATTTTGAGTTTCCATACTGCAGTTGAATGATATTTTGGGCTGGGAATCTTTTTTGGTGTATGGATTAAGAAATTTATTGCTGTCAGTTTTTCTCTCTTTTCTGTCCCTTTAATTATTCTGAATCTGAATTTATTTATGTTGAGTTTTTGGTGTTTGGTGAGTTCCACTACTCCAGTGCTTCTTCAGAGTTTGCGTTTACTTTTATGAATTGGGATAGAATAAATAAGGAATAAAGAGCTAAAACTGGTTCTTTAATTAGAATAGGGTAGAGTCCATTTATTGCTGTTTTGAAAACATTTGTTTGTTTCCGGATGATTTCAGTTTTTACTGAAACTGATGTTTGTTGCTTGTGCTACAGGTCAAGTAGATTTGGCAGACTTCAAAGCATTAAGTGCTCTATTGCGGGGAGGAATGTTTATCTTAGATTTACCTGTAGTACGGGTGATGCCATGGGAATGAACATGGTTTCCAAAGGGGTTCAGAATGTTCTTGATTTCCTTCAAAGTGATTTTCCTGATATGGATGTTATCGGCATCTCTGGTAATTTTTCCCCCCTTTTTCACGTTACTGGGTAACCCTTACTGTTCGTTAACAAACTTGAGGTTATGCCACTGATAGTCTGCCTGATACTGATAACTAGTTGTGGATGGATACTTTAGATTTTTTGTGGGTCTCTGTTTCATTGTACATTTATTTTTCTTTATTTAGACGAAAGTGATCCTGCAATGCAATACACCGAAATTTTTTTTCTTATTTATTTCAGCAATATCTTTGAAATGATATATATTTACTTTTCAAAATTAATTTTCTACTCATTTATGTATTTTATTTGTTTCATATATACAGAATAGTTCGTTATCCGAATTGTGTTGACAGAATATTTTCCTAGTTAGCATTGAATCTGTTGTCCTTTAACTTATCAACCATGAATAGGATCTGTCAGTTTGATGTAAGAAGTTGAGCAGTCACGTCACTCCCGGACTCCGTCACCTGCTTCTATATCGCGTTAAATTCCACTTGTGTGCTACTACTGTAATACTATTCTTTTCTTTCAAAAAGTTAATCTCACCTTGGTATTAACTTTTCCAGTATGCATGCATTCGTTGAATGTGTGATGAACCAAGCATCTCCGTTTAAAATCTCATCTCAGAATTTGCAGTATTAAATGTAATTTTCATTATTGTCATACTTTGAAAAGTTAGTGAAATAATTACCTTTTCAAAGGGGAATATCGAAGTGGCCCCATTAGTTAATCTTTGGTTATCCTTGGGTGTTTAAACTGTATTTGCTGATTAATTGGAGTTTAATTGTAATGATTAGTTATGTATTGATTATATTATTTAGGAAATTACTGTTCGGACAAGAAACCTGCAGCAGTGAATTGGATTGAGGGACGTGGGAAATCAGTAGTTTGTGAAGCAACTATCAAAGAACATATAGTGAAAAAGGTGTTGAAGACCAGTGTGGCAGCTTTGGTTGAGCTTAACATGCTCAAAAACCTTGCTGGCTCTGCTGTTGCTGGTGCTCTTGGTGGATTCAATGCCCATGCTAGTAACATTGTTTCTGCAGTCTTTATAGCCACTGGACAAGATCCAGCACAAAATATTGAGAGTTCCCATTGCATAACTATGATGGAAGCTGTGAACGATGGGAGAGATCTTCACGTCTCAGTGACCATGCCTTCCATAGAGGTGAGTTTTAGAACCGTGATAGATATTTATCATACATGGAGTCTTTTGGATAAACTTCTAAGTACTTCAAGGAGAAAAAACAAGAATGGATAAAACACATTGTGTTTCTCTACAAATTAAAATCATTTTTGGAGAATAACTTTTGCGAAAGTTAAATGAAGACCTCTAGAAATGTGAAGTTCAGTGGATTTAAGGATATCCGATTCGTTCAATGCATTTAACCTTCTTTTCTTCCAGACAAGTGTTTATGGAGAATTTTATGTACTTAATGTACCAATTCAATTGGTATGTTTGTGTAAGACTCTTGATTCTTTCAGGTGGGCACAGTGGGGGGTGGAACTCAACTACCATCTCAATCTGCATGCTTGAATCTTCTTGGTCTGAAGGGTGCAAGCAAGGATTCACCAGGATCAAATTCAAGGGTTTTGGCCACCATTGTTGCTGGATCTGTTTTAGCCGGAGAGCTGTCTCTGATGTCTGCCATTGCAGCGGGGCAGTTAGTCAACAGCCACATGAAATACAACAGATCAAGCAGAGATATGTCTAGAGTGTCATCCTGAGAAGGAAGGACCATGTGGCTCCAGCCTTTACTCGTTATGTCAAAAGTGAAAGTGGTCTCTTTGATGGGTCAGGATTTTTTAGAGTGAAATGGAAGACATCACTTTGCTGGCACCCATGTGAAGTTTCTTTGCTTGTATTGATGTCTGTGAATGTATCATAAGTTGTACCGTGGCAAGTTTTGGAGAGCCCGTCTCGACCATTCATTCACTGTACAAGTTTGGTGCCTAGTTGGCGAGTCATCGAATGAAATCTTAATCGACTCCAAGACTTCAGATTTTCCTTTTGTTTTTTTGTACTAAGATTCTAAACTAATGTTCAGCACTGTATCATTTTCTCTTACATTTATTTTTCTAAGTACTTGGGGGACCAGAAAGCTGGGAGGTTTCTTACTTTTTCTCTTGTCTCGTTGCTCACTAGACCCAATGAATTAAATTGGACCACTTCTTCAATATAGTTTCCCATTTCTTTGGTGGACTTATGTGACGCTATCCATGTTTTCTGTGCTAATTTTCAAATCTGCAGAAGCATTAATAATGGTATTTATTTGACATGTTTTATTATTTTTTTTCGTTTTGAATGGTATCTGTATTTGCATGACACACTTACAAACAATAATAAATTTTATATATTTTTATTTTTGTTTCCATTAGTAAATTATTCTATTTTAAAATCTAGATATTTATCTCTCCATAAAGATGCCCTGAGCTACGCTTGTGTCACATTTTTTTAGTTGGGATTTTGTTTGCTTTCATTGTATCTATACTAGTATTTATACCCTGGGCGTTTTAAAAAGTAAAATATATTTATTATGCAAATTTAAATTTATGAAATATAATTAAAATTTAATATAAATATTTTATTTTGTAAAATTGAACTTATATTGGAAATATATTTATATTATTTCATGAAATCATTTTAAATTGAATATAATAATTGAACCATTTAAAATAAAAAATTTTATTAAACAAAATAAAAGTTAATAATTTTACATATATTTATAATAATTAATAAAATCTTATATTTTAGTACATAGAAATAAATAAATTTTACAAACTAAATAAAAATAGTAATTAAGGTTTAATTGTTTAATTTGTCTCTACTTTCATTGGTGGGGTGTCAACTTGGTCCTCAATTTTAAAAAAGTATCAACTTTTCATTCACACGTATAATGTGCATGCATCAATCAAGTCTATTCTGTTAATTTTGTAGAAACAGAGTTAACTACGTGATGACGTGACAAAAAAGCCTGTATTTTCTTCTCTCTCCTCTCTATGCAACGTAGACCCAACTATTTTTTTCTCTTTGACTCAGAGAAAAGAATATTTTCGTTTTTAATATTTTATTTCTCTCTCTTTCTCTCCTCTTTGACCAATGAATTTCTCTCTCTTTCTCTCATCTCAATTGTAGAGCATCAACCTTGTTATTGACGATCTTTTTCTTATCTCAATTCTCTTTGTCGCTGCATCTCATCAAACAATTCAAGAGCCTCCTAAGACTGATCACTTTCAACATGACCAGATATGTTGGAATTTTGTGATTCAAACAACATTTGGTTGGAAAAGTCAAATAAGTTAAATAAAAATATATTTTTATCCTATTTTTTAGAAGGATTTTATGCATTATTTAATTAATTAAGTTTAGTAGATATTTCTCAAAGTCGGCTACCAATCCTGTAGTTTAAATATTCGCTTATGCTAAATAAAAGATATCATTTTCCCTTTTGTTTCTTATACTTTAAAACCCAAAAAGATATCATGACACTCCAACACACCAAGTCCTTCTCAACTATTTGGTAAAATATGAAGCACGCATCTTTCGCCAATCTAATCTTTGCATACCCCGAAAACATCGTAGTAGAAACAACTAAATGATTTAAGGGAAGTTGATCATAGACTTACCTAGCCAGATACATAGAACCACAATACATAATAACAAGAGCAATATGTAGATGTGAGTCAACATGAAAACCATTATCCTTAATGAACTCATGAATTGCTTTGTCATAGCCTAAATTTCCCGCATGACCACAAGTAGAAAGCACGGTAAAAAGGATAATAGAATCAAGCTCCATACCAGAAATCTTCGTTTCTTCATAGAGCCTTAGAACATGGTCATAATGACTACTCTGGGAATACCCATCAATCATAATATTGCAGGTAACGACATCCGTGTGAGACATTTTGTCAAACACCAAACGGGCATCCATAATACGTCCACATGATGTGTACATGGCAATCAAGGCGATTTGAATAAAAGGGTCGTCATGGAAGCCCAACTTGGAAACCAGGCCATGAACCTCCAAGCCCAAATTCAAGGCAAAAAGTTTGGAAACGACCTTCAATAGAGTAGAAGAACATAATTCAGAATGACCACCGACACTGGCCAAGTTGTTTGTGTTACCGGCGCTTCGGGTTACATCGCTTCCTGACTTGTCAAGTTCCTCCTCGAACACGGTTACACTGTTAATGTCACTGTTCGCGACCCAAGTATGCTTTTTTTCTTCTGTAGTTTTTGTTTTCATGGGTGATTATTTGGAAGATTAAAGATTGGATAGTGTGTGATGTGCAAATTATATTGCTGCTGGATCATATACCACTTAAGTGTGATAATATAAGTGCAATTAATCTTACAAAGAATCCCATAATGCACTCTACAACCAAGCACATAGAGATTATGCATCATTTCCTTAGAGATCATGTGCAAAAAGAAGATTGTGAGATAGAATATATTGACACAAAACACCAATTAGTTGATATTTTCACCAAAGCATTGCTTAAAGATAGATTTTGTGAGCTTAGAAGAGATTTAGGGATATTAGAAATGTCTTAAAGTTCAAAATAGGCCAAAAATTGTGTTTTACGAAAATCAGCGTCAAGTTAATCGATTAACTTATCAAGTTAATCAATTAGCGTTAATCGATTAACTCATTAGGTTAATCGATTCACTCTGTACAAGTTGCAGAAAAACGATCATATTTCGAATTTTTGGACATTAGCAACCTATTTTCAGGGATATTTAACCCCTCTCATCCCTCCTTTCAACTATTTGTACTATCCATTCTTGTATGGTTGAATGTTTATTTGAATTCAATAAAATGTGTGTTGTTTTTTCCTTAATATTCCTATGCATACATGCTTTTATTAAGGGGAGTATATCTTCTAAGTAATTTAGGGGGAGCAATTAAACAAAACTTTTTAATTATGATAAAAAAAAGGGGGAGAAAATGTTTAAAGCTTATTTCTAAGTTCACTACTATTCTTTTCTTCCTTAAGTTGTGTTGTATGCATATTATTACTAAAAGTTTTAAATCAAAGGAGTTTTTAATCATCATCATCAAAAAGGGAGTGATTGTTAGCAAAATGATGAAGATAAAGTTTTGATGATGCCCAAATCAAGTCAAGATGAATCAAGATTCATGAAGAATTATTTTGAAGACTTGTGTTGTATTATAAAGCTTTTGTAATAAGTCTAGATTTAATAGGACTTAGATTAAAGAGTGAAAGATTTGTGTTTTGTGAAATCATTGTGGCAAAACACTGTAGCACTATTCATATGAATAGTAATACTATTCATGTGAATAGTGACGCTTAACGGCAAGAGTATCGCACTCAACACGAACGTTGGAGAAACTAGTCGTTTATAGACGTTAGACAAACTAGTCGTTTATGGTCGTTGGACAAACTAGCCGTTAAGTTTGACTTTTAGTGAAAGGAAGCCTATAAGTAGAATGGAAGGCTTCATTTGTTATATATAGAACTCTTCCCTTGTGCTTTAGAACTCAGAAACTATTGAGAATTGTGAGCTATTGTTCAGCTAAGGAAACTCTTGCTTGTGGAGCTGGTGCAGTGCTGCTACGGTGGCAGAGGAATAGCTGGTTCATCCTTGGTGTGTCTAAGGAAGTATTCGAAAGAGGAAGTCATCCTTCGTGAAGTATTCGGAAGAAGTGTTTCATCCTTTGTGAAGATTCAAAGGAGGTGTAGGTTTATCTCTTGTGGCATGAAGAGAGGTGTTTTCTAAACTTTTACAAATTGTATCTTTGTGATTGTAGTTTGTAATTGTTTTGTGATTAGTTAATTGTTTATCTTGTTTTTAGATAAGCAACAGGACGTAGGATTGGTAAGACCGAACCGGAAAAAAATCATCTGTGCAAATTTCTCTCAACCTTACTTTATTTACTTGTTATTATTATTTGCTAAGTAAGTTTAATTGAGTAGAAATTTTAAAGGCACACGCTTTTATTAAGAACCAATTCACCCCCCCTCTTGGTTTATTGTTCCACACTAACCCTTCCGCTACAGCCGCTCTAACATTTTTGTTCATTGTAATCGATTACAAGGACCCTGTAAACGATTACACGAACAAAAATCTGGTTTTGTACAAAAACTTGTGCTGTAGGAGCTATATATAGGCACATAAGTAGCCAAAGACATTTTACGTAATTGAATTGAATCTTTTTTTAGGCACATATGTGATGTGATTCTTTTTTTAGGCACCAACACTCAATTGAATTGGATATTTTTTTAGGCACCAACACTCAGGCCTATCAAGGTCGCTTACAAAATCAATTTTTGTACCAAACACCCATAACCAAATAAAAGTTTCAATATATATGGTCGAACAACACTAGTAGAGAGCGTATGGTACTAGATCAAAATTGAAATTTTATTCCTATAATATATTATCAGTACATATTACCCAACATTTATAATCATGACCTTTCGTATACAAAAAACATGTACAAGTTCCAACTCCAGTGAAAAATTTCTTTCGATTGAGAGGAAGACCCGTGAGAGTGAAAGCAATGCTCTAGACAAAGTGAAAATGGTGGAGAGAGACGAAGAAGAGGAAAATGCCGCCAACCCGAAAACAGGAACACACGAAGGCAAAATTTCTTTCGATGGATAGGAAGACCCGCGAGAATGAAAGCAATGCTCCACAGAAAGTGAAAATGGTGGAGAGAGACGAAGAAGACGGAAATGAAAATGGTGGAGAGAGAGGAAGTCTCAAATGAAACTGCGAAATGAAGTGGATAATCTCAAATGCCTTTCCAAAAATACCCTCCATGACAAAATGCACCATCTTAATAAAATATTACAAACCAACCAATAAAAAAACATCAGTGTCGTTGTCAAAAAGCTGACAACTTTGGATTGTCAAAGAAACGTTTTCCAAAAATAAAACCCTCTTATCAACCCTCTCTCTCAAAAACCAATGCATGTAGAACACTCATCAAAGGAACCCGTAGGTTAGCAACTCAAATTTAACACATTTTAATAATGCCATTTGTCACACTAGTATTGGCTTGTTTGAAATAATTTGTTTTTTTTAAAAAGGCTGACGT